AGTTCACGACGTTCACGCCACCTTTGTGAAACATTCTCAAGGACTCAAATTTACGCATGAACTACCCACAAACAGCGTCCTTAAATTTTTAGACTTGCAAATGACTTTCCAGGACAACCATTTGTGCTGGATGTGTTCACCAAGATCAAAGAAAACGCTACTTAGATTCAACTCAGCTCATTCCAAACTCACCAAAAGAGGAATCGTGACCAATTCCTTAAGAGCGGCGTTAAACAAGTCGTGCCACCATTCAGCCGGAGAGAGCGTCACTAACCAAATCGAGAGACTGCAAGCTCGGGATACCCCTAGTCCATCTTGATGGATGTGGCAGAAAACAAATTAATGCATGAAAAAATACAAGACCGAAACAAAGAGAAGAGGAGCTGACCAGCCATAGTGCCGTACATCCATTTCATATCACATAACTTGAAAAAGGTAGCCAACAGGTTTGATGTCAGGGTGGTGCTATCTGCACCTGACAAGTTGAAAAGGCTGTGCTCGAAAATAAATTTTTAACACGACAAACAGGACAAATGCGATGTCAAGCATGTCAATAAGTTTGTGAACTGCCTTAGAGGCGTAGTATATGAGATTTTATTCTCGTGTGGGAAGGTGTACGTGGATCAGACTGGCCGGTGTGTCAACATGAGATTGCGAGAGCATGCACTGTCTCTTAAGTCTTCACCGGCAGGACATCTTGCTCTACATGTACGAGATTGCAAGTGTACTCCTCTATTCCATCGAACAAAAATCCTAAGGAAGTTCAGTGATCAAAGAACAAGAGGAATTTATGAGGCGCACGTCATAGCAGCCTAAAGGGGATACATGCATCAGTGCACCGTCGGTAGCCTTATCGGCGAAGCAATTGCACTACTTACAATATTTTGTGTGAGAACTTCGTTTAACTAGATTAATTTTCAGTCCTCTTTTTCCTCTTTCTTTTTCTTTTTTTCATGTGATTGGAGTAGGTCTTCATTTGAATTTTTTTAGTGTACTTTTTAATTTTTACCGTACTTTTTTTCTGATTTGTTAATTTTGAAGTAAAAAATAATTGTTGCTTTCTTTCGTTTTGGTTAGTCTTCCTTTTCATTTCGTGTATGTCCTTGCACTTCTGCTTTATCTTCCTTTTATTCTTCACTAAATATCAGTTGCGAGTCAGCGCCTGTCCGTGTCTGTGTGTTCTACTTGTCCTCGTCTTTAGCGCTACTTTTAAATTCTTAGAAACGGTGGCACAGCCGGTCGTAGCCAAACGCAGGTGTGCGGAGTAGCCTTAAGAAATGTAGGACGTGTCTCGTCGCCCAACCAGTTCTTTTTCACGCGAACGGAGCAAGGAGTAGAGTGGAGAAGGAACGCGTGACGTCACCCTACGTCATTATAGGGCAGACTGGAAAATACTCGCCGCTGTTCTCTCCCAGGGCCCACGAGCTCTCAAAAATCTGTCGCGGGCTATTGCCTTTTTTTATTGATTTCTCGTTTGTTCACAGGTTTCCGAAAGTTTTCGTGGCAGTCCCTCGGCCGGCTTCTGCTCTAACGTAATACCGCACTTGGGTACAGCCGTCGACCTGCAGCACAGCCCAACCTTTGTGTGGTCGCTGGTTCGGGTTTCACCACTTTCCCCCCGACTCCGAAATAGCAACACAGCGGGTTTCGTTTTATGCGAAGGGACAAGTTTGTGCCCAACAAGCAAAGTAATGCTCTCTGACGAGTACGCACAACACACACACACAAAAAGAGCTTTGCCAATGCAAAAGACAGGTTTTGATATAGGAACGTTTGTATGAAACTCGACGCTATTCTGATTGTCTTTTCACACAAGAGGAAGTCAACTAAGCCAATCTGAGGAACCGTTACGTAAAGGAGAAACAAAACGTTGTAAGAATGATTTATTTATTTATTTTTTTTATACAGTACCTACATCGCCCAGGGAGCATTACATTAGGGGGGTTAAAATGCATAAAAGATGGTTGCATCACACTTGTTAAGCGGAAGTAAAACATAGTGCTTGAAAGCACCAATAAACACAAAAAAACAAAAAAAAAGAAAAAACATCAATGATTTGTTGCAAGAAAAAAGGAATACAATCAGCAAGCACACTACAAATTAATAACCTAACAGAAAACACGATATAAGTATAACTAATAAACACTATACAGGATATTGCACAATGTGGAAGTTTTATAGGTCCGATAGGAGAGAAGAAAAGCTGGCATCTGAGGTTTCTGTCACCACAAGTTTAGGAAGGGCGTTCCGCTCATGAATGCTCTTTGGAAAAAAGGAATGTTTAAACAGTTCTGTTCTACATCCAATTTCTTTTATTTTAAGCGAATGATCTACCCTTGAGGAAATGTAATCAGGACTATGAAGATACTTATCCTTGTTAATGCGTGTGTTTTGTAGGAAAATACTTCTAAAAAGTTTTAATCGCAAACACTTTCGCCGTGAAGCCATCAAGTGCCAGCCAAGTTGCTCTTTAAGTTTGGTGACGCTTGACCGAAAGGCGTGGGTATTTGTAACAAAGCGCGAAGCTCTATTTTGTACGCGTTCAATTTTTTAGGACAAGTTGAGGAAATGAGGGTCCCACACTGAACAAGCGCACTCTAAGATAGGCATGATGTTAGTAGTGTATAGCAAAGCTTTTATATCCTCAGGAGCCATTTTAAAATTCATTTTTATAAAGTTTAGGACACGGTTCGCCTTAAGTGTTACTGTGTCCACGTGCTTGGCCCAAGGAAGAGTGCGGCTAGAATAGACCCCTAAATACTTTACCTCCGTAACCTCTTTAAGATCAATGCCATTTAGATTATACCTTGATAGAAAAGAGGTGCGTTTTTTGCTAAACCGAATATAATTGCATTTATTAATGTTTAGGCACATTCCCCACCTGTTACACCACGCCGCCACTGTTTCAAGGTCAGTCTGGATTAAGTAGGAATGATCATCGTTGCAAACTTACCGGTAAATAACGCAATTATCCGCGTATAAGCGAATACTAGATGTTAAGTTTTGAGGAACGTCATTAATATAAATTAAAAACAGAAGAGGTTCAAGTACGCTCCCCTGGGGAACTCCTGACGTAACCGCTGCATACGAGGATTTAACACCATTAACAACTACACACTGAGTACGATCAGTTAAATAACCTTTCAGCCACTTGATAAGATAACCAGGTAACCCCAAGGATGACAATTTGTGCATAAGAAGGGAGTGAGGCACTTTGTCAAAAGCTTTTTGGAAGTCTAAAAGCAAGCAGTCAGTTTGTATATGTTTATCTAATGAGAGAGAAATATCTTGGACAAATTCAATCAACTGCGTAGTGCACGACAGACCCGAGCGAAAACCATGCTGCTGCGGGGTAAAATAATCATTTAACTCTAGATGAGATACAATATTTGAATATAGGATGTGTTCTAGCAGTTTGGAACAAACACTAGTCAGAGATATTGGCCTGTAATTAGATACCTCGCGTTTGAGACCTGCCTTATGGACGGGTGCAATATTAGCAGTCTTCCAATCCGACGGCAGCTTGCTCGAGAAAAGCGATTTGTTTAACAATATAACTAGGAAGGACGTAATCGCGGCAGCACACGATTTTAAAACGTGGTTAGGAATTCTATCGGGTCCTGTGGCTGAATGAGGTTTTAAATTACAAAGAAGTTTAAGTACACGATTAGCCTCAATTACAAATTCTGGCATTCCATTAAGTTCTGACATAGATGGAACCAATTCGTCTGTCTCTGCTGGACTAGAAAAAACAGACTGAAAAAATTCATTGAAGCAAACCGCTCTCTCTAAGTCGTCCGAAGTCAATTCATTGTTCTGAAGAATTGGGGTATACCTATGCTTTCGTTAATACCCGTTCTTTTCACACTTTTCCATAATTCTTTCGGGTTGTTAAGCAACCTGGGACCCAGGGTAGAGAAAAAATGCAGTTTAGCTTCCTTAACCTCTTTTTGAAGGCGTAATCGAGGCATCTAAATTCACTTTTCGTTGCTGAGTTTTTTTTTTATACTTAAGAAACAGACAACGTTTTTTATTTAGGAGTCAACGCAAGCTTTTGTTTATCCATGGTTTATCGCGTCTACGCCTTCCTGATAACATTTTACGGGGAACATATTTATCGATAAGAGCCATAAGTACACTTTTAAACAAAAACCACAAATCTTCAATGTCAGGTGACGTACATGAGCATTCAAACTCGGGGAGGAAAGCCAACAGGTCAAAAGACAAGTTATCATAATCACCCCGATCGAAAATATACACTTTTTTGGGGCGTGACTTGATGATAACATCGCGCTTGCACGGTATTTGTGTAACTACAACTTCATGGTCACTGGGGCCCGGTGTCATCATCACTGAGGACACACTAGAAGGACGATTTGTAAAAAAAGGTCTAGAATAGATTCCCGTGCACTATATATTGTTGGAAGGGACACGAACTGTTGCAACTCATGAGTGTTTATCAGTTCATCAAACGTGGTATAAAGAGAGAGTGAATTACGCAAATCATGTATATTTTCCACCCAATCTATATCGGGAAGATTAAAGTCTCCACTAAGTACGACGTCATCAGGGGTTATTGCTGACAAAGTATTAGATAAACACAAAAGGGGATCTAGTGCATTATTACCCGGTGGTCTATAAAATGAGCCGACTGTTAGAAATTTCGAGCCTCGCAGTTTGATTTTACACCAAAAAGATTCGCAAATACAGTCGTGAAATTCAAGGGCTGTGCTTCTTAGGTCTCTAGACACAAGTAAGAACACACCCCCGCCCCTTAGATTTCTATCTTTGCGGTAGACCTCATAGTTAGCTGGAAATATTTCAGAGCTGTCTATAGAACCATCAAGCCACGACTCCGTACCAATAACCACATCAGCCTGTGCTGAATTCAGAAGAAAGGCAAGTTCGTCTTTTTTGTTTTTAAAACTTCTGCAGTTGACAGTTATGAAGACTAGATTTTGAAAGCTAAGTTCTCCATTTCCGCTTGTATGCTGTGGTGGTTACCGGGCATTTTCGAACACAGTGCCATTATCTGGATCGTACGTATACGTTCTGTTGCCTATAGTTAACTTGTTGTATCGCAGTTTAAATTGCGCGTTCTGCTCACTGGCGTAGTCTAGAAGTCTGCGTCTTGCAAACTGTACTGCAGGGGAAAAATCGTCGCTTATAGAAAAACCACTTCGTTTTAGTTTGAAGGCCTTAGAAAGAACCCTTTGCTTGTCTTTAAATGACAGGAACTTCGAAATCAGAGGGCGGTTTTTATGAGCAGCAAAGCGGCCAATCCTGTGCACTCGTTCAATGCTAGTAGCTTCAAGGTGTATATCGAGCTTATCGGCGAAAAGAGATAAAGCCTTAGCCTCTGAAGCTTCCCATGTTTCAGCCGCCACGTCGGGCAAACCGTAGATGAGCAGCTTGTTTCTCTGAGATTGATTTTCCAGTTCTTCTTGACGCGAAGCTGTTGTTCTAAGCTGCGTATCCAGTTCCCGATTTGACGCTTTAAGTTCTTCAAGTTCTCCCCTCAGTGGTTTAATTGTAGCCACATCGCTCTCAATTATAGCTATACGAGTAAATAAGCCCTCAAGTTTTCTTTCGAATGTGGTTTGCAAATCTTTGATGGCTTTCAGTTCGTTTATTACAGTCTTTTGTCCTTCGTGCATACTAGGAATTAGTTGCATTGATTCAACTAGCTGATTTTCTTGCGCGGCGGAAGGAGGGCCGGGATTTAATTCAACGTCACCGCACAACAGTAGCCACAAGAAATAGAAAGCACACGAAACCTCTCCGAAATCAGCAGGTCAAGCCGCGTGATCTAACGTTAGCAAATACAGCATGGGGTGGAACCGGCAGAAGAGCAAACCCAAATCTAGAACATTTAGGGAGGCTGGCACCAACCTGCATGAGCAGCAGAAAATGAAAATGCGTGAAGGGCACCGCCATGACTGTGCCGGTTCCACGCCCCAAGCCGAGACTGTCGATTTCCGCCTTTTGTAGGCTGAAAACAACGAGACTGTCCTCCCAAGGTTCGTAGGCTGGGATCGGACACTGGCCAGAAATGGGTGCCGGACATGTTGCGAGAATGGTGTCATCGAGAAGATGCGAGTTGAAGGCGAAAACAGGCATAGCCGATGGTGGGGGATGTTCCGTGTCTTTGCTGACGTTGCGTTGCGATAGCGATGAAGCACCACGACGCACGACCTGCATGAGCAGCAGAAAACGAAAATGCGTGAAGGGCACCACCATGACTGTGCCGGTTCCAGTTCGGCGCTTTAAAAGGAAAGTGAAGCGGTTTTGTATTTGAGAAAAAAACACACATTTTCTTCATTTGGCCTCCAGCGTCACGAATATCGAAATTTTTTTTTTCGAATTCGGTGCACGGAGGCTACAGAAAATAATTTTTAAATTACAGTTGAAGGCCCTCTTTCCTGGAGCGTGGCGTGATATACAAATTTTTGGGAATCTCCACTCTCGCGCAACTTCAGCGTCTATGAAAGCTATGGTCCCACACTCTTGCTTTTCTTTTTTTTCTTTTTTTTTTAAAAAAAGGTAAAAAAAGACGTCATGGCCGGTGTCAGTGCGAGCGAATAAAGACGCTTTGCACACGCGAAAAATTCCAGCCGCCCCATTGTTGACCATCTCTTGATTTGCCGAGATGCCGAGCCATGGAAGCGGGCGTTGCCGAGATTCCACAAACACCAATGCTTGAGAGAAGGACACAGTAGAATCTACTGTTTGATTCAAAAAGCAGCTAGGCTCTTTAAATGGACCGCAAAATTCGGTTTCTTAAACTATCGAGCTACGACTTTGTGCAGCGTTGCCCACAGATGGTGCATTTTTTTTGTAAAATTTGCAAAGAGCGACCTTACCTCACGAAAAAGTAAAGAAAGAAAAAGGCATAGCTCCTATAGAAACCCAGGGAAGCCACCGGTCTTCAAACAACACGGCGCCGTTTCGCACGGGAGACAAAAGATGGCGCAAGCGGTCGCGACGCCAACTGCCGCCAACGAACGAGCATACAGCGCCGAGAGCCGGCGTCTTTAGTAGACGATCTTTTCGACTCAAACGCGGCGCGCGTTTCAGCGGCGACAGTTGCAAAAACAAAAACAGGCGCGGTAACAAGACGGAACTGCAAAGCAGACGACATCACTACCCCGAAAAAAACAGTCAAAATATCCCGACAAACCATTTTTTAATCGATTATGTGTCCATCCAATATGTTTTATTAGTAAGGGTGATAAAAAATGCATTGGCAACTGTTATTAAAAAAGCTCGCGCCACTTGTGAGTCGAAAAGATGGCTCTCGGCGCTGTATGCTCGTTCGTTAACGGCAGTTGGCGTCGCAACCGCTTGCGCCATCTCTTGTCTCCCGTACGAAACGGCGCCGTATTGTCTGAAGACCGGTGGCTTCGCTGCATTTTCATACACTCCAAGAAAAAATGGAGGAAAAAGGTAGCAACGGCTCGTCTTCCTCCCTTCTACTTACGCGCCCCCAAGCGGACACGGGACGAAGGGAGGAACGAGACGTTTTTCTCCTTCTCCAGGCAGGCGGGAGAAAGCTTTCGCCCTCCCGACTCATCTTCTTTCGGTTTCGTTTTTCGAGCACGTCGCGCACATTGTTTAATAAATGTTGTTGAGTTGATTGAGCTTCAGCGGCAGTAAAGGCCGCCTGTAACTCCGTCTTCTAGTCCAAATGTGCAGAACATTTCGGTTGCATTGACGTGTTTATCACTAATTTTATCAAAGGAGCAAACGAAGCCACTAAAAACAGCGAAGTTCCGGAGCAGTGCCAGCAGCGCTACGTACATTGTGTAAAATGGCAGTCCCCGGATTGCGGGACCGACGCGGAACTACAGTAGCGGAACCACGCGGAGCTGTGTCGACGTTTTCGTCGTTGTGGAAATCGTGGGAACTGCGTCCAAAACAGGCAGGTTTTGCTGCCGGCTGCCTTCCGTGCTGAGTTCGGTTCTGTTTTCCGATGCCGAGTGCCAACCGGCAATCAACGTGGCTCTGTATTTTTGCGTGTCAGCAACATAACAGCAACATCGCGATGGCAATGTTGCGCGTTGTGAACAGAGGACTGGAATTATCGCCGATGTGACCCTGTGTTCGCGTATCAGTCGTGTAACAACAAGATGAGATGACGTAAACTGTCGGGCATTGATGCCGCTGGTCGGGCCGTGATCGGAGGGGGCGGGGTGTCGCAGGTTGACATTCCGCTTTACATTAATAAGTTAAGGCCACTTGAGTGATTAGGTGCAATCGATCAACGTGAGGATAGTCATGTTGGAACGCTGGTGTGAATAGTAAGCTCCTATCGTACAGTATCTAGTTGGACTGTCGGTTGTCTCCTCCGCAAGATTCAATTGCGCTCTGGGGAAAGGACTGAACAGCACGAAATTATAACGGAAAGTACGTGTATTTACAGTGTGGAATTTTGGCATTAAAAAAAAGAGTAGTATGAATTAAAAAAAAAAATGCTACCCTTTTTTTTGCTGTTTAAATATATTACGGTTGCTGGAGAAACTGCCCTCTAATTGGCGCGCTGGGATGAGCGCTAGAAGTTTTCCAGCTCGCCGCGGCGTAGCTCCGTATACTTTAACACCTGCCGCAAGTCGCACTTTTGACTGCATTCAAGTTGATCGAAAAGCGATTTCTCTGCCTGTGAAGCATCATTTCCAGCTGGTTGAATATTCGCCCTACAGAGATTGATTCAAGACGGCAATTCCAGCCGTTCGCGAACAGCACAAATAGAAAAACAAACACTACAATAGAAATGCAGGCTACGACGTGCCGTGCGGGGAAATAAAGTCATGGCGACGAACCGCATTGGAGCGGGATGATTTATTGGCGTTCAAATAATTATGGCATGATCGAACGTTTACTTTTTTAATAAGAGATTCATCCCCTGAGCTATTCAAAATACTCTCGGAGGTATGACATTGCTGGAAAAGAAATTAACACGCTGGGAATATTTTTTATTGCTTACCCAGTCACTGAAAAATTCCGTACGTTCAAAACGACCAGTATAAAAGACAGAAACGGAGAGCTCGGGTGCGGTGTATGGGTTAGTGTGCCGTTGTATTGATGTTTGTTAGTGCCATGCAATGATGCTTGTAATGATGCTTGTGCAATGATGCTTGTAGTATGCGTAAGTGTGTGTACATGTGTGTACAGTGCATGTTCCCGAAGATAGCGAAGCGCGAGATGACCTGCGGAAATAAAAATATTTTTTGTAGAACATGAATGGGGCGGTACCTAGCGCCACCTCGCTTAGCTTCTTGCAATTACTCTGCGTGACCCTGCCATCTGTTGGCAAGCGATTTAACCTTCTTTCACGCGACGCAAAAATTAGCTGCTTCGAGTTTTGTTCTTTTGAAAGCTGCTTTTGGTTTCGCGGATGTGTTCACTATTCCTCCGTAATGTGCGGTTGACGAAAGAATTGTGACTCGAGGAACAGCAAAGGTAAGACGTAAAGTGCGCGAAGTAACCGGGTATCGGTTGTCTCCGATTAACATCGCAGTGCTGAGGACGAGAAGACTGAGTAACTGCTTTCGAAACACGAGTTTCTGTACCTGCGGGGGTAATCTGGCTTCGGAAGTAAACACAGTTCGCGGAAAGCTCGTGTTACGCATTTATTTGGTGCTCCTCTCGTCCCGTACAAGAGACGTAGCGTCCTCGTTAAGCTTTATTGAGCTTGATTTGCTCGATTCAGGGCCGGTATAATGAGATGAAGGCGACGGAGGAACTATTTGCTCTCTGTTTCAGGGACTAAGGTTTCTTCCTTTCTAAAGAAACATAGGTTACAAGACCGTTCCTCCCCTTATGGAGAACTATTGATACCCTTTTTTCTAAGAGTGTAGGAACTAAGCCCTTTTCTTTTCTCTTTTTACTTTTTCCTCAGATAAGTTCACTCTGCAAATTTTATAAAAAAAAAAAATGCACCATCTGTGGGCAACGCTGCACAAAGTCGTAGCGCGATAGGTTAAGAAACCAAAGTTTGGGGTCGATTTAGAGAGCCTGGCCGCTCCTTGAATCACCCAGTAGAATGGCAGTAACCTGGCCTGCTATAATCACAATGATGTGAAGTAAACGTTATAAAGGGAAACGAAAATTGAAGGTCGGTTATGGCGGAGCCTTTGTACAGCTGCTCCAAGGCGTCTATATTTGGCAAACGTGCAATGGCACGCGCTGTACACACGAGGGATACGCGCTTGGCGGCCGGAAGGTGTGCGGAAGACGTAACAACTGGTCGGGGAGTTTTTATGTTTTCTCGTGTTTAAATACACCTTCGGGAAAAAGAAAACGAAATATTCAGACTCACATGATAAAAATACTAAGAAATTCACCTCTAACTTGTTTTTCTTTTTTTGCTAGAATCTTTTAGTTTCCCTTTAATAAACACTTTTACTTACTTATTACTTGGTTGCAGTGCTAGAAAATGCGCGAGCGCGTAGCAAATGAGAGGGCCACATGTTCACTCTTCGTGTTAACGGACGAATTTTTTATTTTTTTCCAATAGCCTACCGTATTGATTAAACTATCACATTGTTTACGGCCGACTCACGGTATAAAAAAAATCAGTTATTCAGGAATCGGATGGCTTGTGTTGTGTAGCAGCAAACGCAATCCGTAAACGTATTTTTGACGATGCGATATTCTTTTATTAAAGGGATGGTGAACCGACATTTGGATTTCAAAAAAACAATGCAGGAGATGTAGGCGAGACGCTAGAATCCCTACAACACTACTCGCAAGGCGATATCTCGAATGGATGGCCGTATTTTTGGAAAAAGAGGTAGAGATTGAACCAGGCCGACGAGGCGCGTGCCGTCAAGATACCGTGTTTCCTCCTCTCTTTGCTTCGCTCCCTCAAGGCCGCAAGGCGGAGAAGACGCGAGGCCGTTCCCTCTCCTTCTCAGAGAAACATGACGTCAACATTCCTGCCAAATGCTCCTCCTTTTTTTGAAAAATACGGTCATCCGTTCGAGATATTGCTGTATGAATGATGTTTTCGTGTTTGTAGCATCCAGTTGCACGCTTTTGCGGCGTGTTCTGGGAAATTAAAATTTCGGTTCAGCATCCCTTTAATAGGCGTTGTTCACTGACTTTTAGTTTTGTTTTATTTACAGTTTCTGCTACCTCTTGATATCACAAGTGCTTATCTTGTTCCATAGGTACATACGTGGTGTCCTTAGGACAGTGAAGAGCCTGTGATGCCTTATTGTAAACTCACAAGTTTCATG